AAACTTAAACCAGCTATTTGAAAAACCATTTACTCCGAGAACACCAAAAAACACATTGGCTATGGAACCCCAAACCTCAACCTATGCAGATAGCCTACAAAACGAGAAAAAATTATATAACCATGTTACGAGAACCTATATTGAAAATATATACAAAATCCAAACCTATTTAAACCGTAATCGTAGATCCACTACAACCAAAGAACCAAATCAAGACTACCTAACCCAAAAATTACAAGGTTATAACAAGTTAATTGCACAACCAAAAACTAACGTCAATTTAGTAAGAACATGTTACAATTATGGACTATTAAATACCGTATATACATACGATGGAGAAGAGATAAGTGAAATACTAGAATTACACAAAGCATTTGTCACATATAAAAGAGTTACCAAAGGAAATTTATTTTATATAAAGTTTTATACAGCACTAGCGAAGATATTATACGAGGAGATAAAACCTACAATTAGAGTTATTAAGATAGGATTAACCAAAGATATGATTATACCTGATGATATCGGACAACAGGAAGAAATACAAAAAATAGAGATACCAAGTTTTTATGCCAATAAAAGAATAATTGGTATATCAACTATTATACAAGAGTTAGCAAAAAATTATTTAAACGGAAATGCTATATGGAGTTACTACTCTAGAGACCAGTTAATGATATATTCAAATTCTAGAGAACTAAGGAAAGCAGATATGGAAGAAGTGCAGCGATTAATTTTATCATTATTAAAACCAGAAGAAAGACCTATGACAAGAGCACTCAAAGCAGGATTTATTTTCGCCAGAACTATTAACCAGATATTGCAAGCTAATTGGACACAAATACCCTGATCATATATGTTCAAAATGCAACGTAGAAGATAATGTAATACCAGATGTCCAGCTAGAATGATACAAAAAGAAAAAGAAAAAACAAGATAGAAGAAAAGACAAAAGAAGTGGCAGACTAAGTTATGAAGATAAGTGGAAGAAAAGGAAGACAAGTTTATGAAAAGTCCTAAAGTAAATAGTGGAAAGATAAAGTAAAGTCAAATTTTTTGACTTATTGTGTAAATTATTGTAAAGTAACGTAGTAAAAGACAATGTAAAGAAAAGTAGAATAGTGTAAGGATAAAGCAAAGTAGAATAGTAAGTAGACAAGTGTAAATTGGGTAAGTGTGTATTATTAAAGTAGTATGGACAAGTGTAAAGTATGGTAGGTGGTGTGCATTATTAAGAAGACAAGTGTTAGGTGGGCATTATGGTAGAGTAAGTAGTAGTGCATTATTATGCATTATTGTAAAGTAAATAATA